GTTTCTTCCATACTCCAAATGAGAGGGTGGGTGTGGGTGTGGGTGTATGGGTGTGGGGTGGGTGGATTCACCTCACATACACACCTACATCTATCCACACACATCCGCACCCACACTCCTTGATATTGATCTATTGAAATCTCGTGCCTTTTGCCGATATAAATTTAAAAGTGGATCCATCACAAGACTGACAAGCCTTATGTAGAACTGATTAGTGCCAAATGTATCCTATCTCAAATAAAGAATCGCATGGACAAACTTATAAATGCAAAATATGACAACTTTTTGGTGTACTTGAGAAAAAGCTGTTAAGACAATGCCTGGCAGGATTAAATGTGAAATGTGACCCATGTACTTAGGAGGAAACACTGATGTCTCTCATGGTCTGTGGAGGTAGAGAGGTGGTTCAAACTTTCTATTCTATACACTTCAACACCTTGTAGATCATGTTTCACAAAATGCCGAAGATCACAATCCTCCTTTTCTTGATGATAGACGATAAAAACCGAAAAAATGATCGCTCTATTCACATTTCGGTGGATTTTTGAGTTTTTCTTCGCTTATGTTCGTCGCTGCCAGTAAATGAAAGCCTCGAAAGATACAGAAAAGAGTTCTCTGCAAAGTGATCTATGTCAATGATGCTTATAGTAACTTTTAGTAATCGATGGTACTTCCACCAGGAGAGGAATTGCCGTGTTGTTAATAGTTTATCAATAATGTCGTCGAATCATAGTGCCTAAAAAAAAAATAGTATGTGAAAGCCCTTATGATGCAGCATTTTTTTAGACTTTCCCTAACTAATAGCGTTGAAGAGATGCGAAGGAAAATTCAAACCATCATCAAGATGTGAAATAGCCTTCTTTTGAGTTTTTATGGTCTACCATTAAAAAAAAGAGGATTGTGATTTTTGCCATTTTTTCCCAAGTACGTTTGAAAGCGTAATATTTTGGGTTTAGTAGCTTCTCGATGTGATGTTTCATTTGCGCTAGAAAAAAAAACTTGATTAAAAATTTAGCATTAGTCGATCATATATACGGCTAGTTAGTTAGTCTTCTAATACATCCTGTCTTAAGATTTTGTCTAGAAAGGGACGAGATCTTATTATATCAATATCAAGGGAGTTGTTTACTATTAAGATCGTTTCATTTTATAATGTTTGTTGGGTACCAAAGTATCTGATGATTTTGACCATCGCCTGTCAAATATTCTAAAGCATTTCATTGTGAAGAAGAAACTTGTACTAATTGTTCTTTTGGTCAAATGTTTATTTCAAATAATTATCTTTATTAATTATTTCCAATGAAACAAATCTTTAAGAATCTGTATGAATAATTTCGCTAATTCATCGTATATTTATATTTAGATGATTCATCTATTGCTCGTTTACTCCAACAAATCACACATCTATTTCTTTCGTTTACGAATGATATACAAACAACATCTATAATTGATTTAAGTAAAAATGTTTACGCTAAGATCTTTGCTTTAGGTGAAAAGTTAACTACAATGGATTTTGGTAACTTGGATTTTTATGAACGTCCGTTATCGTTGAATAGTTTACCTTTGATAACTTGTCATTCATCGACTATACAGAAGTTGAATATTAGTGTACTAACTCTCGACTTGTCTTGCTTTGTTAGATGGACGTCTCTCTCAATTATCTACTTTTAATGTTACAATTCGTCATATTGAACGTTCATCATTAATAATTGATAATACGGTAAAGCACTAAATTTTAATAATTATTTTGGTTAAGAGAAAAAGCTTTCTTTCAGAGGAATAAATATTAAGTTTTTAATCTAATTAATATACGAAATCTTTAGACTCATTTATTTCATAGATGATTTTGCCCAATCTTAAATGTTTTTCATTAAAATCTTATCTATTCACATTTGTGTATGATAATGAAATGGTGCCACTGCTTCGTCGTATGTTAAACTTGGAAGTACTTACTTTGTATATCATGGCTAAAAATCGACAAACATTGATCGATGGAAATCATCTTAGCAATGAAATTCTCGTTCATATGCCTAGATTACTTACATTTACGTTTTTTATTCGTACAGTTAATGATATTGGTAATGTAGGTAATTGGCAATTCAATGAAGATATTCAACGTTCATTTAATAATAGCAGATGGTCTCAAGTTAACTATTGAACTGATCATTTTCCTAATGAAACTGAACTTTGTAATGTTTTTTCACTTCCTTTTACAATGGAACATATGGATGGTATTACTAATAGTTTTCCAGGTGGAATATTTTCTTCTGTGTATTATTTATCAATGCTTGATATGCGCCCATTTGAACATGATTTTTTTCATCTTATTGCTCAAGCTTTTCCATCGATGAGGATGCTAAGACTAATTAATATGATACCTCAAATACATAAACAACGACACTCGCGATTCGACCATGATGATAATAATCATCAAAATTCTTCTATCATTGAGTTTCCATATCTCAAAACTCTCTTTCTCCTTAATGTTCATATCGATTACGTGGAAGAATTTTTACATGATAATAACACACATCTACCTTCTCTTATACAACTACAGATTAAATATGAACAATTAGAAACTGTGACAAATTATTTCACGAATGACAGAACCCGTCGAAATTGTGCTAACATAAAGCGTATACATATTGACGAAGTAATTGTGTTTCAAAAAAATTTCTATTTGTACTTTCCTTTGTTGTAACTGTACTGAACTCTTTTGTTGATGTTAAAATAAATCAAAAAACTTTTTATTTGCTTTCTTTTTTTGCATCTTGTTATTCTAGTCGATCACAGATTCTAACGTATATACATGTGTAAGCAAGAGCTTTTATCAATATAATATGTATGAAAGAATGTCTGTAATAAAATTGCTATTCATTAGCACTTATTTTGAACTTAATAAGAAAATTCTTCACAAGCCTTATGTGCAAATATCTATAAACGATAGTAATCATGATCTGAAGTTTTTCTAGCCATTGAAAATATAATGATGAATGTTATGAAATTATTTTGGATGCAAATGTATTAGGTAGATATTCCTAAGAGTCAAAAAACAGATGGATGAATAATAAAAATCAAAAGTAAATAAAACTTCATGTATTTATTTTTTCTCTTCCTAGAATCTTTTCTCAAATATTGTACAAGATATATATGGGCGTGCTTAACCCTAGGATGCTCCATAGGAAATAATATTACTCCAGAAAGGAGTACATCATGAATTTTATATCCAATGAAAGCTCATCAAAAATTGGATTTGTTGGTACTAAATAGTAAGAATTTTGTGAACTTTGTAATATCAAACTTAAGAAATATTGAGAAATTTCATACATTTTTGTCATAGAAAATTAAGATGTCAGTAATTGAAAAATGGAGTAAAATTTTTTTCCTTGAATATTTTTACATGATTGGATAGAGCTTGTCGAGCTAAACAAAACTGCATGTATTGAAGTCGTTTTACGCGGCTTTTTTAGGGTGTGGGTGTCCTTTTCGCACACCCACACCCTCATCTACACCCACCCACATCCAAAATTTTCCTTCTCTAAAATATGCTGAAATAAGTAAAATTGGAAAATACCGATTGAGCGCCGCATCAAATAATCGGTTGTGGCTCATGCAGATCGACTCATATGAGAAACATTTGTGCTTAGCAAACGTATCCACGATCGTAATACAGGTTGACACGTGATTCTATCAATTAACTAGCATCGTTCTTTTTCTCTTCCACGGAGTGTGTTTTATATTGCTCATTTATATATTTTCTTACCGATTTATTTTGGTCTCACATGAATGATCATTTTTATTTCTTTCACTGTTCTTCAACGATTTATTGAAAAGAAAAAAATATTGGTAAGAACGTTTATCAGTTCTCCTTGGCGAGTCTTGACTGATGTTGTATTTTGCTTTTCATACGGAAAGAAATCTCTAGACGAAAGACATTAAGAAGAAGTATACAACATAATGACTAGCTACCTCATGGCAAACTAAATGGTATGAAGTAAGCAGTTGCTATTAAAATAAATTTCTTTTTTTCAATCACGTTAATTCACAAACCGTTTCAAATGATATATCCTCTCTATATTCGGTGATCTTCATTTCTTTAAAGAACTTTCAAAACAGATGTGAAACAAACTAATGAAAACTTTGACTGCTCTGAAAAGTTATCACTTTTGATAGAGAAACTGTACAATCTGAATATAGAATTTTTCACTAAAACGAACCCAAGCAAATAGATACATAACTTTTCTCGATCTTATTTCGAATCTCTAGCTAAGCATATGTTAGTGAACAAATAAAATTTTCTTATAAGTTTGAATTCTCTGTCGTTTATCAGAAATTAAAATAAATCACTAAGTCTTAAATTTTAAATATTAGCTTAGATCCAATGGTTAGCTGAGAAACAGTGAATATCCCAAGAATATATATAGCGAAAAAATTGATAAAAAAACAAAGTTGTTAAGATAAAATATTCGACCTCGTTCTTTAAAGTGAAATCAGCGCACAAATATGCTTATTTATTATTAGTAAACAGACACCTCTCAAGAGAAACTAAATGACATGTGCGACATAAGGAAGAAAAATATACCTGTATATCTTGCACAGGTAAAAAATGAAAAATAACATGAGTTGCCTCCATATATTAAGATTTATTGTGTACTATTATTTCTTTACTAGTAACCAAGTTATAAAACGCAAAAATATTATTCAGAATCGTTTCAGATTCTTCCATTGTTGAATTAATAGTATTCTAAAATAATTAGAGTATTGTCTATAGACTAAAACATATCAATGAAGAGGTATTGAATATCTTAACATACATGAGCATTGAAATAAATTTATGCTGTATATTATTGTTTAGTTTTTATGCTCAATTTCTCTTCGAAGCAAATAAATACTGAAAGAAACGATCGACGTGCAAATGATCGAAAATACTAAACGCTATCTCATTTTATTTTCTACAGCTCATAGAGATCTTTTAGCACATAGAAATCAAACATCATGTATAACTATTCGAAAATTTAATGCAGGATGGTTTTTCGTCGAATACGTTCGCCAACACTGCTATTTGCATTAGTAAATCAGCTCTGCAAGCTTTGAAGTTGATTATAAAGTAGAATGATATCAATACGTACATTTCAACTGAGAGGAAAAAACGAAAATAATTTCTTAAAATAAACAATATTCTATGACACCAACAATAGAAAATTATAAGTCAAATTTTAGTCTTCATGATAATCTATTCTTTTTGTTTTCGAATAAGAGAGAGAAAGAGAGATAAAAACTATTCATCAATATTTTGTAATTATTATTGATCTTACACATTCTCTATTACTTAGAAGCAACTAGTCATGTTTAACGAAAAAAAATAAAGCAGAAATATGATAAGCTCAATATTTTCAAAATTAGTTCCATACCGATCCCCTCTCTGATGTACACATACTCACACATAGGCATTTTCATCAACACACAATCAGGGTCGTTCTGCATTCGTGTTTGTCGATGACATGCTCTGAGAGAAATTGCTTTTTAACATGCATTGTCACTTTTGTATATTCATTTTCGTCTGCACGCACAAAAAAAGAATTGTACGAAACAGCGTTAAAGTGCACAATTTTAAAAGAAAATGCTATTTTATCGTTTAAATGCATTTTTTTCTCTGCAACTGATCGAAACGTATGTTTTCTATGCATGTAACATATTGAAATGCATTCTTTTGTATGAAAATGCGTTGCTGTCTACATATCCGTATGCTTTAGCTTGGCTTGCTTCTGAGTATATCTGTTATCAACTAGATTTTTTCTTGAAAAATCGCTTATTCTTGTAGGTATTCTAGAATGCATATTTTGATACATTTTTTAACTATAGAACGAACACTTTTCCATGAATGCGATAGAATGTGATTTTATCATTTTCTCTCTGGAGAATATGAGATTTATTACAACAAAAGGTTCCACAGATATTAAGATTCGCACTGTCGGTAAAAACATCGTTCTATGAAATACAATTTGATATCATTCTGACAAACATTAAATCCCATCTCATTCGAAAGTACATCATTCATATTCACCCTCTTTTTAACGGTCAATTTATTTCTAAAGGTCCAATAAAAGAATACTAGTTAGTGCTTTAAGTTTCACTTTATTTCTTAGTCTGCTCAATCAAAGCTTCTTTTGAATAAGAATTAGTGTTTTTAGAAAAAAGTCTGTTTTAAATTCAGAATGAACCTACAGTATTTGTTTATTTGTGTTTTGGTTTATTACTCTTCAGTTTCTTCTTGTTCGTCCC